TAAAGGAAATATTTTTAAACGTGAATCCATCTAAAGTTGTAGAATTTTTATCAAAAGGAAATCCTAAAAAACTGTTTTAGATTTTTATCTTATATATTATCATTATTATTATTATTATTATTTATATGTTTTACCTTGTACATTATTTATTGCTGTTGATGACTTTTAATTGTTAGAATATTTTTACTTGATCTATTTTCCTTTTGCCATGACATAGCCATAGACGCTGAAATGGCAATAAACTCTCTCTCTCTCTCTCTCTCTCTCTCTCTCTCTCTCTCTGAGTTAGAACTAAATTAATGTTATAAAAACTAATTACCAGGGCTATTGTGTTTAAACAGGGTTTATGCGGGGTTGTAAATTACAAAATCAAAATTTTAGGCCTTAAAGTCTTAAATTTACTGAAATGTTGTATTGTAGGTCTTAAATCTTTTTTAGACAAGTCTTCATTTTCCTTTGTTCATGTTTTGCTGCTCAATCTGGTCAAACCCCATACAATCACCAACAATCCATCTCAATAAAACAGTAAACTTTTTATTCAAAAAGGTCATTTTAACTCTATTTATCATAATGCTTTAATTGTTTTCCTTACAATAACATATGTTTAAACGTGCTCCATGTATTTACTGCTGAGGACAGACTGTTGTGCATATTTTTTTTTTTAATTTTTAAAAAACTTTTAATGCACTTGTTAATTGTTTTTTTGTTTTTTTTTTTTAAGAAAATTTATGTTGGAAAAAAGTGAAGTAGAGCTTGCTTGTTTTTACACAATATTTAAGATCTTTTGCTAAGAAATATCTAAAATATTAAATGTTTTATTATTCATTTATTATTGTATAATTAAATGTATAAAATTATTATTATTTATTTTTTGATAGGGAAAATAAAATCCTTTCTATCTGGGCCATTTGAAAAAATCTTTAGCCCTTTATGTGTCTAAAATTTCATTCATAATGGTCTTAAAAATGTCTTAATGTCTTAAATTTAACTTGGTGAAACCTGCAGAAACTCTGGTTTAAAGTATGTCAGAAAACGTGGATGCCCCAAATATTAAATATGCTGAATGAAATGGACACTAAAATAATTAATTATTATAAAAAATTGCACAGTATTCTAAACTATATGATGTTGCTGTGGAATGACATGAGACAAAACAAACACATTATAGTGGAACAATAACGTTTAGCATTGCACTGACTACAACTGGCCAACAAACTAGTCTAAAACTAGTCTAAAAATGACTTTTGCTGTTTAAGAAATGGATTACAGCATGCTGATGATATGCAAACATTTGAGCGTAAAGTTTGTCAGTATTGACCAAATTCTTCACGTACCAGCAGGCGCCGCCATTGAAATCTTTTTGCTTGAGACTTTTTTTTTAAAGGATGAATTTTTAGATCCTAAAAACCATGTCATGCTGCTTAGGCAAGGGACAGTTTACAAGGTATACCTCGGTTTGAGAAAAGTCAAGGTTTTAAAACCGCCAATATTTTCTGCTGTATTGTTCCTACAGTATATACTTTTTAAAAATGTTTTATTTTAAGTTTTTTAGGACAACAGTATCTCCAGGAGAAAATGTATCCAAATTATGAGGTTTTAAATTGTAAAGAAATCTGTATTTTTAAAACAAATGAAGACAGCAGTTGTCAATTATTCATTTGAATGATTTTGCCAGACATGTTCACATACATGTTCACATACTGCTCCAAGATATTGTAAAAGTTTCTCCAATGAAAATATTTTGTTCAAAGATAAAAAGTACAGTTAAACCATGATATTTTTATTCAAGCTTATCATACCGTCAGAATCTTATACTGGCCCATGCCTAATGCTGCTTGATGTTGCAAAGTCATATTTTCTTATTTTATTGTTTTTTGTATGTATAGTCATGAACACATTTGTTTGTGGAGCAAGTTTATTAATCCTGGTCATTTCTCCAATAGGCAATTGAAGTTCTAAAACAATAGCATATGAGTTCAGGGCACTGTTTTGAAAGGAGGTCAAGTGAAAACTCAAGAGTATTTTAATCCGGAAATGAGAGAAAGTCTGGGTTATCATTTCAAAATGGCAGGTTTGTCAAACTTGAGAAAGCAGGGTAAGCCAGTTTCTGAAAGAGATCTAACTTTAACTGCGAGTCAGTTACCGTGGTAACTTACTCTGTGAACCTACCTGGTCAGTAGCAGGTTTTATTCTCTAAACTCGTGAGTTTTTGTCAGTCTCCTTTCCTTTTTCTCGCTTAGCCTTACGTTTCCAGCCACCTATTTTTAAGTGCATTTTGGATGGGCTATGAGCATAAAAAATTGGTTGATGGAAATGTCATGATGCACATAACTTTTGAAATATTGGCATAAAAAACATGCGCATAACTGAGTAGGATAAACTTTTTATTTAATAAGAAAAGATAAACTTACGTAAACTACGCAAGCACCTTTACTGAACAAATTCCAGTTTGTGCATTAAAAAAGGTTGGTTATAAGAGATTATATGATACAAATGTGTGTGAATGCACAAACCAGCAGGCTGAGCACTCTGCAGAGCGTCTAAAATGTTGTTTTGGTCATTCTAAAACACCTGAACCATTTCAGTATTCATGTTATTGTATTATTAATGATCTCCAGAGCGTCTGGAGTGTGTCAAGAGTGTCTGTTCTCTGCATCTCATGGCTTCAAACGCCACCACATGTTCATTGTCCTCTGAGGGGAAAGTCATTTATTAAATAAGCAAAAGATTCATGTAACTTCTTCTACCATAATAAATTCTGTTTTTACTGTTGATACTTGGAACCAGTTAATCAGGAAGTGACGATTTTGTTCTTTTTGATTCATTGGATGGAAACGCTGATTTATTTGTGTATTTTTCATGCAATATTCCAGTTTTGCAAATAAATTTAGTTCTCATTTTTGGATGGAAACACAGCTATTACCAACATTTCAGTCTCACAAAGAACAGTACGTCACGTATGAGAATGGCTTGGCCTTTAATGAATAATTAGCTTAACATTACAGACCTTCGACAGGGACATGTACTGTATCTATGAAAGCCTTCTCACATTCTTCGGTCCATGGAATCGGATTCTTTATGGCTTTAGCCATGTCTTCTAAAGACATTCCTCTCAGACTTCCCTCACATAAATTGGGACCCAACTTCATTGGACCATTTCCCATTATCAAGGTGCTCAGTCTAGTGTTGGTTCAACTCAAATTAAGTCTAAGTTTAAAAACATTCATCCAGTCTTTTTTTCAGGTGTCTAAGATCAAACCCATGCTTCTCTCCCCACTGCACCCCATAACCTCTGCTCCTCTGCCTCCCAGACTGGTTGAGGGTGCACTCACATACACAGTGCACTGGCCCCTGCATGTGAGGAGGAGAGGTAGAGAGGTTATCAGTATCGGGTAGACTGGAAAGGTTATGGTCCACAGGAAAGATGTTGGATTCCGGCTCTGGATATTCTGGACCGCTCTCTCATTGATCAGTTTCATTAGTTCCATAGTGAGTCTTAAGGGAATGCCAGGGGCCGTTCTTGAGAGAGGGGGTACTGTCACCGTACCTCACACTTTTGCTCTCTTCTCCTGTTCTGGGTTACAGATTATCTCATGTCATCTGCTTTTATTTGCAGTCACAGAAGCTCTCGTTTCCCTTTTTTCCTGTTTATACCACATCATTCCCTTCATGTTTTTCAGTATGTTATCGATCATTTGTGTGTATATTATTTTATTACTCACCCTGTATTTGTGTCCAGGACCGCTAGTGAGTGAGTGTCTGGTTGTTTTTTCCCATGAAACTTTATCAGCGCTCACCCGACCGGGTGTTTACTTTGATTTTTGCTTTTTCCGTTTCTCACTCCTTAATAAACCCTTGTTGTTTTTCTGCATTTGATTCAGTTTTTTTTGTTTTTTGTTTTTTTTTACTTATGACACAAGAATTTTCTTTTTCATTTGTGTTTACATGTCTTTAGATTTTGGCATGATGTCTAGCTTTTGAGGCTCTTTTTGTCTACTTCAGACAGGTCCTATTTAGGTAATTTCTTGATTGAGAACGTGTGGTAGTTATCAGGTCTGGGTGTGGCTAGAGAACTTGAACCCGGTGTGATAAATAAAGTTATGTTTAATGGGGAAAAACATTTTCACACAAGTCTGTGTAGTTCAGTGTTTTGTCCTCCTTTTAAGAATAAAATTCTTCATTTAAAAACTGCACAATGCATTTAGTTATGTTATCTTTGTCTAATATTTACATTTGTTTGATGATCTGAAACAGTTAAGTGTTAGTATTCTGCATTGCATTCGTTACATGCAGATTACTAAACCAGAGAACATTTGTCATCTAAAGGTGCAGGTTTAAGGCTTTATGCAGATGTTATGCAGATATGTCTCATGTCTGTGGGGCAAATATTCTCAGAGATTCAGCTGCTTTTTTTTCTGACAGGTTTACCAGTCAGGCACAGAATGAAAAAGCATTCCCTATCTGCTTTACAAGTTTTACAAAAACATGTTGTTTTGTGTGATTACGAATATATACAAATAGAAACTGGCCATTTACAGCTTTCAAATTTATGTCTCATCAATATGACCAAAATGCTCTGGGATTAATCATATAAGTATCTGCTTAAATGTGTTTGTGTGTAATGGACACTAGGAGGTTAATATGACAAGATCAATCTAAATATGATCTGCTGTTTTTACATTTAATGTGCATCAAAATTAAAGTTTTCACTTCCTTTTCACTGAGAGTTTTAATGATTTACTAAAAGCTGAACTTTTTATTATTTCAGATCTAGTTAAAGAGTATGAGAGGAGTAAAGAGGAGGAACATCATGTCAAAATTGAAGACAAAACTCATTTAGAGACTGATGATATTTTAAAAATGAGAGACAAGCGTTGTTTTACCTGCAATCAGTGTGGGAAGAGTTTGGCAAACAAAAGCAAACTAAAGATCCACATGAGGATCCACAATAGGGAGAAACTATTCACATGCACTCAGTGTGGGAAGAATTTCAACCAATCATCAAACCTTAATCAACACATGAGGATCCACACTGGGGAGAAACTATTCACATGCACCCAGTGTGGGAAGAGTTTCAGCAACTCAGCAAACCTTAATATACACATGAGGATTCACACTGGAGAGAAACCATTCACATGCACCCAGTGTGGGAAGAGTTTCAGCAACTCAGCAAACCTTAATCAACACATGAGGATTCACACTGGAGAGAAACCATTCACATGTACTCAGTGTGGGAAGAGTTTCAGCCAATCATCAAACCTTAACCTACACATGAGGATCCACACTGGAGAGAAACCATTCACATGCAGTCAGTGTGGGAAGAGTTTCAGCCAATCATCATCCCTTAATCTACACATGAGGATACACACTGGAGAGAAACCATTCACATGTACTCAGTGTGGTAAGAGTTTCAGCCAATCATCAATCCTTAATATACACATGAGGAACCACACTGGAGAGAAACCATTCACATGCCTTCAGTGTGGGAAGAGTTTTAGCCAATCAACATACCTTAATCAACACATGAGGATCCACACTGGGGAGAACCTATTCACATGCACCCATTGTGGGAAGAGTTTCAGCAACTCAGCAAACCTTAATCTACACATGAGGATTCACACTGGAGAGAAACCATTCACATGTACTCAGTGTGGGAAGAGTTTCAGCCAATCATCAAACCTTAATATACACATGAGGATTCACACTGGAGAGAAACCATTCACATGCAGTCAGTGTGGGAAGAGTTTCAGCCAATCACCATACCTTAATCATCACATGAGGATCCACACTGGAGAGAAACCATTCACATGCAGTCAGTGTGGGAAGAGTTTCAGCAAATCATCAAACCTTAATCTACACTTGAGGATCCACACTGGAGAGAAACCATTCACATGTACTCAGTGTGGTACGAGTTTCAGCCAATCATCAAACCTTAATATACACATGAGGAACCACACTGGAGAGAAACCATTCACATGCCTTCAGTGTGGGAAGAGCTTTAGCCGATCAACATCCCTTAATCGACACATGATGATCCACACTGGAGAGAAAGAGTTTATGTGCTTGAAGTGTGAGAATACTTTTATTACAGCTGCAGAATTGAAACGCCACCAGAGGGTTCACACTGGAGAAAAACCGTACAAGTGTTCACAGTGCAGTAAGAGGTTTGCTCGCTCAGGAACCCTGAAAACACATGAGAGGATTCACACTGGAGAGAAACTGTAGACATGATCAGTGTGTACAAAGTTTCACTTAATCAGGGCAGCTTAAGAAACACATGGGATGGTTTTTGGTAAGGCGCCGACACATGTAGCAGCATAGAAAGAGCGCTTCCATACACACTGGTATTAATCCTCCTTTTTACATCATATATAATAACCTAAACCATATTTAAATGACATGGAGGAGGGACAAAAACAAAAAGGCTAGGACAAAACAACCAGTTAATCCTGAAAAAAATGAGAAATCAACAGATGAAAAATCCAAGACAGACGGAATAGCTGATAGCCTGTCACCTATCATTGCAGCAATATTTACAGACATCAAAGCTTTCCAGAAGAATATTAAATCTGATTTAACCGCCTTCCAAGATTCTCTCGCAAAAGATGTGAAAATGGAATTAAGTAACTGTAAACAAGAAGTCAATCAACAACTGGATGACCTTATCACGGACCTAAATGCAACGACAGAAAAGGTCAACGAAGTGGAGCAGCGAGTTGGAGAATTTTGGAGAACATTGCAGAGATGAAAGAAATGCTCAATCAATCCATTCAAGTACAAGAAAATTTAAAAGAGAAACTGTGAGATATAGAAAAACGCTCCCGTAGAAATAATAATCAGATTTTTGGAATCCCGGAAGAAAGCATTCTGAATGAAAAGGGAATTAAGTTCTAAACACCACCGCCGGCAAGACTTAAAATCTTTTTGGAAAACAAAGGACCTGGTCCTCCGCTTTGCATGGAGAAAAAAAGTAATACACTGAAATAAAAAAAGAATTTTCTTTGACCAAGACTACCCACCTGAGATCCAACAGAAAAGACGGGCTTTTGCTCCGATAAGAAAAATTCTGAATGAAAAGGGGATTAAGTTCCAAACACCGAATCTTTCTGGAAAACAGGGCAGTCATGTACAATTTGATGACGGAGGCATCAAGAGAAAGTCTGAAAGAAAAAGGACTGATAAACAGCGAAGAAGAAACTATTATAGGAATCCCTGGGAAAGAGAAACAAAGACCTTGGCAAAAGGTTGGAGTGACATGGAAGAAAAGTAAGGAAAAACATCAAACGAAGATCCGGGAAAAACTATGTGAATTTCAAAGGGACAACACTAGCTTTGTTTGGAAGAAGGGTAAAACCTGACAGATCCTAACAAAGAACTCTGAGAGACTGGTAAAACTTCTTGACTTGATTCACCGATAATGGACCAAGGTTATAATAGTTTTGGATTTTTCATTAGTTTTAGTTTCTATTTCGTTTTGACTTTTTATTTTCAAATTCAGTTAGTTTTAATTAGTTTTAGAGGCAGATTTCTTAGTTTTTATTAGTTTCTATATTTTAAAAATGTCTTTTTATTAGTTTCAGTATTAGTTTCAGTTTTTTTAAATGAGGATATTTGTTAGATGCAAAATTCTAAATCAACAATATAAATATTGTATAATAAAAACTCAACCACACATTTTTTGAAACATGTATTCAAAGAATATGAACACTATCATCCACCACAACCATCTACCCATCCTCAAGTTAGACACCCAGTAGTGATGGACAGGGCCGGATAAAACTATGGGCATTATGGGCACAGGCCCAGGGGCCCGTCTGCACTTAGATTTTGCCTACTTTTCATCACCAGAAAGACAAGTGGGAATTATTGATAAGTGTGTGTATTATGGAGGACTCCGACTCCTAGAACTGGATTGGAGAGGTGTTATCCAAATCATGTGCAGTATAAGTTTGTAGAAGTTATACATTAAAATACCCTAAATATACATTTTAATACTGCTTCAGTGAACTTGAACAAGTACATTAAAATCCATTAATTTCCCCTAGTTGTATTAGTATTTTTTTCTTTCAAATTAAATGCTTTAAAAATAAGTTAAATCTTTGTAGAATAGAAATATATGTACTGTATATCAATTATTTAAAAAATGTGGGCAATACATTATAGATAATTTTTTTATCAAATATTATATTAATCTTATTTTTTAATTCAACTATAGGGTGCGGCTATAGTGAGCCTTCAAGACATTGTGCCCAATGGGCTCTGAATTATTAATCCGGGCCTGCTGATGGGTAATTCAGATTTTTAACGTGGATGCTAGGACTCAACATTATGTAGTCAGCAATAGTAATTTAAGTCAATTAAAATGATCAGAAAAGTCTTTCAGTAAAGTTTTGCAACCCAACTGAATCATGATTCACTCATTTAAATTCCATTATGATTGTCTGCTATGAAATAAACTTGCGTTTTTTCACCAGATCCTCTCATTTAAGCCTTAGTTTACCCGTGCTTCAGTTCTTCCAGTTCAGTTCAGTGGTTCAGTTCAGTCACACAGCAGGCTGAGGGCTGTACTGTTTTTGTTTGGTTCACTGAATCACGCATGCGCAGTATTAACGGTTCACCGCTTCTCAATGTAAAGTTGCTGTTCTAATAACTGAATGAGAGTATATATTGGCTTATTTAGAGTCAGAGGGGTAGTAGACTTGTTATAAAGTAAGTAGTTGGTGGATAAGTTCTTACTGGAGACGCGAATCGTTTCAAATGATTTAGTTCGATTTAGTGAACTAGTTCAACTGGTTCAGTTAGAAGATCCGGTTAAAAAGATTTGTTCGCGATCGCGATACAGAAATAAAACCCATTATTGGGCATAAACGTGTTAAAGTAATACTTTTAAGTATCTTTATTTAATGCTGTCGTCGTGATGCTGTCATGTCCTCTCATTGCTTTTGTCGCGGGAGCAACAGCGAGGATGACTGGAGGAGAGCCGGCTCGATCTGGCCAATGGCAGCAGGAGACACTGAGGTGCGGCAGGATCAAACACAAACACCTGCAGCGCGGAATATATTTACTTCTAAAAGGCTTACAGTAAGATTATGTATTAAATACATTTACAAACACGAAAACGAGGTTTTTGCTATCATTTTAGTTCGTTTCAGTTAGTTTTGTATCTACACAACACAGTTTCAGTTAGTTCTAGTTTTTAAAAGAACTAGTTTTTATTTTTATTACAGTTAACGACAATTATTTTACATTTTAGTTTTAATTTTTCGTTTTCGTTAACTATAATAACCTTGTAATGGACATTTAAATAGTTTAAAGGAAGAATGGTATTTAAACAGTCTGACCAACGACACAAGATGAACAAATAAAGCACACCAAGACTCAAGCCATTGAGTAACATACTGGTAGGAAGACATAAAAGGATTCGAATTTATACACTTAAAATCCCTTGCTATAATTAGTATAAATATTAATTTGAAAACCTAGCCAGAAATACAAGAATATTCCCAGACATGGGAGCTGAATATATTCGTTAACATTTTTTGTGCAATAGGCACAGCAAGGAGAAGCCCTTTAGAGAAGGAAGACTTTCCCCTCACGTTAAGAAGTTATTTAAGACTTTAAGGGTTGAAGACCGTTTTCGTTATTTTTTGTATGTGTTCAAGATTTTCTTGTTTGTGTTTTTCATGTTCCGGTCACAGTGATCTTCGCAATAACATCTGATTATAGTATATGCAAAAACAGAAATATAGAGTAATTACTTTCAATATTAATGGGTTAGTAAATCCGATTAAAAGAAGCAAACTCAAGGCTAAAATAAAAAGAGAAAAGCAACAGATAATCTTCTGGCAAGAGAAACATCTTTCTGATACAGAACATAAGAAATTGGAAAAAAAATGGGATTTAAGGTTTTCTTTTTATTTTATTATCTTTCTCATATAATAATGGTCGTAAATAAGGAGTAATGACATTAATCTTAAATAAAATCTAATTTCAGTTAATTTCTGAAATTACTGATAAAAAAGGATGAAGGAACTATCGACCAAAAAGTTGCGTTAGTTAATATATTTAGACCTCCTGAAAAAGACAAAGCATTTCTCAAAAAAAAAAAAAGTATTATAGCTAAGGAGGTGTCAGGTATGTTGATCTGTGGGGGAGACTGGAATGTACAACTTCAGCCTAAATTGGACTCGTCCTCTAATAAGCAAATTAGTCAGAAAACTAAATAAATAAAATATCTGATGAAAGAATTAGGCTTAATAGATGTTTGGAGAGACATTTACCCTCTTAAAAAATAATGTACTTTCTTTTCTACCGCCCACATGTATCATTCTAGAATTTATCTTTTTACTTTAGGTCTGATCAACATAAAATAAAAGACTGTAAAATAGGAACAAAGGACATCTCAGACCAAGCAGGAGCTTATTTAACAGTGTACCTGGACAATAAAGCCAAAAAGACATTTTGGCGATTTAAAGAGCCCATATTATACATGAAATAGGGCCATATCCTGGTTGTAAGGGTCTCCAACAACAGTCTAATATGCATGCAAGGTCAAAAAACACTTTCATGGTCTTATAATCTGCATTTATTTTTACCTAATTATCCCAGCGACTCCTGTATGAATCGTCCAGTGATTCATTTGTTCCCAAACCCCTCCTTAGCGCGGAGCTAATCTGCGCTGATTGGACCGATGACAGTCTGTCGCGATTGGTCGACTGCCTTCAGTCAGAGAGGGAAATGGCCAATAGCTAATCAGCAATTTAAAAAGTAATCACAGTTCATACACGCTCGATAGTGTAGACGTGGATTTTAGCTGCCACACTATGGCGAGTGGATAGTGCCACGGATAACCGAACGAAGGAGACAGTCGTGTACTCGCCATACCACACACACACAAAAACACACACACACACCTCCGGATGACAACGCTCCCGCTTCCGCCCGCACCCACCAGGTTTTAGCCTGAGAAACCGCTCCGTTTTCTGCCCGCCGCGCCCGATCCCGCTAGAGCGGAGGAGAACACAACCAAAAATCACCCAGTATACAGTCCAGACAGCCAAGCTGTCTGTATAAACACACACACACACACAGCACAAAGCACACAAAGCTCGTTCGCGCTCTCTCTCGCTCTCTCTCTCTCTCTATCTATCTATCTCTCTCGCTCTCTCTCATACGCGCGCGTGCGCACCAACACACACACAAGCACCAAGCAGACTCTCTCTTTCTAATTCGCATAGTAATATCCGTGATATTGCTAGACAGCCCGCTCCCGTCCCAAATTAAACCCGTTACCGACTTTATAAATTTCCGAATAAATCGCAGGAGCAGAACTCTAGCACGGAGCTCCATAAACAAAGCAGCACGCGTCGCGTTTTTAACGTGACTTTGCACGCGATAAGAGAATATAGCCAGTTAACCTGATACAGTACACGCGGTTACAAGTAACAAATCACAACTAAATACATTTGCAAGCTAGAGTAAACGAGGCAACAACTTTAACCGCATGTACTTACACTTGAGAAATGGAAGAAACCCATCCTGACGTCCATCAGTTACTCTTTACTGATCCTTCCTTTAACAAACTCAGATGAAGTATTCTTTGTAGCATGTAGCTTCCAGAAGTTTCCAACTGCTTGGTTATAATGCTGATGTTTCATCTTTGGGTAGAGACTCAATATAATATCCATCTGCAGTGTGACTTCAATCGACCGGCATGTTTGTGTGCGTGTGTTTGTGGGTGTGCGTGTGTTTGTGGGTGTGCGTGTGTGTCTGGGTTTCTGCGTCAGAGGGCGGGGCCTCAGGTTTGAAATCTCCCGGGTTTGCGCGTGCACGTGAATAACTTGGTTTTGTTCGTACGTCATGGCGAAACACCTTATGAATCGGTTTTTAGGCGACTCGTTTGAAGCACTATGAGTCGACTCTTTTATAGATGAATCAACAGTTTTAAACACTGTATTCTTACAGATTTAAGCCTTAGCTGGATACTTCACTTCACTTAGAGCTGTGTTACACACTACATGGAGGGGAATTTTCAAAAACCCATAATATGGGCTCTTTAAACTGGACTTTTCCACCAAGCTCTCAAATTTTGCCATATTTCCTTCTTTTCGATATTGGAATATAAACTTTTCCAGTACTCTTCTGCTTTGGGTGTTACAAACACGTCTTTAGATAAGCAAAAATAAAACATTTTCAGTATACCATCTTTAAAAGCATATTGATTTTCTTTAAAGTTAATCACCCTTCCTTCATCGCTG